TTGCAGTTTTTGGTCAGGGCTGGATTTGAACCCACCACCTCCGGCATATGGGGCCAGCGCTCTACTCCTTGAGCCACAGGCGCCGCCCTTGTTTCCTTTTCTACTGTCCCTCCTACCAGACATGAAGCTCCACAATGCAGGGTCCACCTCTGTCTTCAGCACCACATTTCTGTTTGTGCCTAACACAATGGCTGGTATTATAGATGCCTTTAATGAATATTTGTTGAATAAATGACTAAAGAGGAGATGTAAGGGAAAGATACCAGACTTAAACTGACAGGGCCTTACCCTTGTTAAGAGAAGTGCCACAAAGACTAATTCCGTCTGTGATGGGTCATACTGGGTGACAGTAATGGTCTTTGCCACAGTGCACCAGAAAAGAAGTAAACATAAGTTGTCTGATATAATGTTTGGTAATTTTTGATGTCAGAAGTTCTGTATAGACCAAAGTCTTTCTCCAGGGTACTTAGAATTTTTTCACTTTTTAATTAGAGAAGTAGAAGAATTCTCACCAGAAAAGCAAAGAAATCAAAGCAGAAAATAAAAATATTTAATTCCCTTTTGAATGTGTGTTGAATTCAATACAAATCCATAAAACATTGATCTAGACCAAAAGGAACCAATGTTACATTTAGGAGGCAATTGACTGCATAAAAATAGAATCTACACTATATTTTTAAAAAGACATTTAAGACCTTATTCTATGGTTAATGTGGTAACAATGATGTCTTCTTTACAGCCCAAGAAACCACAATAAAGTAGTGGGAAAATAAAGAAGGTTTTGTTGAATTTTTTTTTACTCTTTGAATTATCTTCATAGACCAGTAAAAAATAAACTCTTTAATAAATAAATATATATAATAAATATTTTCAAATTGAAAATGTATAAATAGGTCCATTCTTTTAAAAAATGTTCTGTCTTGGTGTGGCAGGTCTCACAGTGCACAAGTCACCCAAGTCGTTTTGTTCGTTTTTATGTTTTTTTTACGTATAATGCCATAACTTGCAAAATTCTACAAGGTCCTCAGAATCTCCGTAGTAATATTCTTGGCCACCCATGTCAATCCATCTCTTCAACATGAAGTATCTATGATAATGCAACTTTTTAAAGTAAACATAATCCAGAGGGGTTAGTCACCAGCAGCAAACTTGGTGGGTTCCCATTATCCACAGTTTGGAACATATTTTCAGCTTCAGTCTACTGGTAAGGACTTAGCCGATGGACCTAAAGAAATTCAATCCACTTATAAAGAGTGACCTTGATCCACTTCAAGTCAATTTTTTTTTCTCCACATTCTTTCCAAATTCGGTCTTCCAGTAAAAAAAATAGATGCTGTAACACTCTGAATGTCTTCCTGGATTAATATTTTACAATGGGAACTGTTCTAAGATGAGATGGTTGTGGTTGTGTTCTTCCATAAAGATGCTATGACGTTTCAAGTGTACATCAGCAGGTCCTTGTACAATTCTGGAACTCTTTCTGGATCCACGGGTCTGGGTAAGAAATGGGTAAACTTCTGATGTCTTTTGGACCTGGCCCCATCTCTAGGGGTTCCATCCTTGTTAAGTGCCACAAAATACCTGCGGCCAGAGTCCCCATGTTTATATATGTTGGATGAGTAGGTGTTATACCAGTTCTCTTCAAACTGCTCCCGAAAGATGCATTCAGAAGTCAGTTTCTCCTGAAAGAGAGATCACCACCGTTAAAAAAAAATACCCTTGAGATCATTTCCTTACAAAAAAATCTCAACTCTGTATTTTCATTTCTTTGCCTGTAACTATATCCTTATCAAAGGAGGAAAAGGGTTAAATTGTTTTTGCTTTATTTTGTTTTAGTTCATATCTTATCTGTAAATCTTTCTTTTTTTCTTTTTTTAATTAAATCATCGCTGTGTACATTAATGCAAGACATGGGGTACAATGTGCTGGTTTTATATACAATTTGAAATATTTTCATCAAACTGGTCAACATAGCCTTCACGGCATTTTCTTAGTTATTGTGTTAAGACATTTATATTCTACATTTAGTAAGTTTCACATGTACCCTTGTAAGATGCACCACCATAGGCATGGTCCCACCGACTACCCTCCCTCCATCCATCCTCCCCCCTCCCCTCCCTTTCCCCTTTCCCCATTTTCTTGGGCGATAATTGGGTTATCGCTCTCCTATGAAAGCTACAAATTAGTTTCATAGTAGGACTGAGTACATTGGATACTTCTTCTTCCATTCTTGAGATACTTTGCTATAAAGAACATGTTCCAGCTCCATCCATGTAAACATGAAAGAGGTAAAGTTTGCCAGCTGGCAATATAGCTCAAGGAATTTTAAGTCAAATGTCAAGTCCCAATTCTATTTTCAAATATTTAACAAATACTCTAAATTTTCCCATGTTCCATATTATTACCCTACCATCATCACTACCAGTAAGTCTGTAGTTTAACTTGTTTCATCATTAGCTGCCAAAGTTCTACATATCAAGCCTGTACTAACACCTTGGAACATATCAAGATCTTGCTAAGATCCAAATTCTAAATTCAAGATCATCACTCCAAATCATGTATCTTGCCTTTGTGAATATATTAATTGTTTTATGACACATTCCCCTTGATTACTGGATCTTTGAATATTAAACATAGTAAAAGCCCAGTGATTTGTCTTTTCTTTTCTTTTTTTTTTTTTTGAGACAGAACCTCAAGCTGTCCCCCTGGATAGAGTGCCATGGCATCACAGCTCACAGCAACTTGGGCTCAAGCAAGTCTCCTGCCTCAGCCTCCCAAGTAGCTGGGACCACGGATGCCCACCACAACGCCCAGCTATTTTTGGGTTGCAGCTGTCATTGTTGTTTGGCTGGCCTGGGCTGGATTCGAACCTGCCACCTTAGGTGTATGTGGCTGGCACTTTAGCCACTTGAGCTACAGGCGCCGAGCCTGAGTTGTCTTTTCAAAATGGACTATACGTTGTCCTAAAGAATAGACCACAGTTGCTCTTTTACTTTTTATTTTTTTAATTTTCAACGTGTTGTTTTTTTGTTTTTTATTGTTTGAGATTCACTGAAGGTATAAAAAGTTAGGTAATGCTGATCACATTTGTTAAAGTCCCTCTTATAATTGTGTTCTGCCCCCAAGAAGTGTGCCATACACTGTGACCTGCATCCCTCTCCCCCCTCCCTACAGTTGCTCCTTTGTAATTCCATTAATTCTATTGCAATTCCACTATTATGCTTTTTACACACAGCATTATTTATCTTTGTTCTGAGCTGACAGAAAGCCTAGAAAGAGCAAGTTTTTTACCCTTACAAAAGCCAGACATTTGTCTACCCATGAAATATTACAACCAATTTTTCTGAACAAATGCTATCAGTGTAACCCGGTTTCTTGTACCCTCAATGAATCCCCAACAATAAATTTAAAAAAAAAAGTTTAGTTAAATATTGTCATCTTAATTGATATTTTAAAAAAAAGAAAAAGGTACCGGATAGTGCTATCTGCTAATCATAAAAAGCAAATTCTCTGTAGAAATAGTTACAGAGACTTTGACTTTAAGAAAGGATCTCATGGGTGGCGCCTGTGGCTCAAAAGGGTAGAGTGCCGGCCACATATGCTGGAGGTGGTGGGTTCAGCCCTGGCAAAAAAAAAAAAAGGATTTCATCTGAGAACACGAGTGGATGATATAAGGTAGGTATAGGATAACTTATATGGGTATAAAAGTGTACCCATACTTATAGGGGGCTTCTACATATATTTTTCTCCTCTGGCCCTCACATTTACACCTTACCAATTGTTTTTAAAGTATATAAGCTATTAAAAAAGTATTGAAAGAGGAAAACTCTATATTATGCTATAGAATAAGTTCATATTGCTCTGTTACTCTAACTCTCCTGCTGCTATTGCTACATTGTTAAAAAAAATGAGTAGATTCATAGACATGAGCTACTCAGTGGCAAGTTAAAAAGTGCTCAATACAGTTTTTGAGAGAACCATGGCTGCTGTAATTATCAAGACTACAGGTGGAGTAGAACTAGTGTGGTTGCTTCATTCACTCATTTCCTATAAGGAAAGGCCAGCAAGTAAGTGATATACATTTACCTATGTAAATGATAATGATGACAACGGGTAGAGATAGAGAAATTTTACAACAAATAAATTTAAAGGTGAAAGGGTCTAACATACCAAAGGAAAACAATGTTCCCATGTTTCTCTGTCTTTGATGGGGACCGATCAAAACATGGAGAAAGCTAGAAAGACTTAGGCTAATGGGAAGAAGAGCTGTTGGCAGTAATGACTTGGGAGTTAAAAAATAAAAGTAAGTTACTATATTAGCGCCCCAAACACCTGGACATTTAGCAGGATATAGATTTGTAATTCTACGTCAAGTATATTTTGTATACTTCTGATAAACATTATGGTGGACAATTTAATTATTATACAAAACCGTCATTATTTCAAGAATGACAGGGATAATAAAAAATAATACTTACTGATCCATAGAGCTCTCCTTTGTCATTCATTCCAAGGTAAAGACCACTGTCCACACCTCGAATACTGACCAGTCCCACTGCCACACTGATGAATTCCAGGATACCTGAATTTATAAGCAAGTGTATAAAAACATAAGTGATTCACATTTATGAATGAATATTGGACTCATGAAAGTCTTCCAAAGTGTAGCCATAGTAGACCAATATTTCTAAATATAATGATGTTCCTGGAAGCCCCCTGTAAACTGAAAAGTGCTATGTAACTGTTTTTTTTTTAATTAAATCATAGCTGTGTACATTAATGCAGTCATGGGGTACAGTGTGGTGTTTTCATATACAATTTGAAATATTTTCATCGAACTGGTTATGAAACTGGTTTCATCGAGCCTTCATGTCATTTTCTTAGTTATTGTGTTAAGACGTTTATATTCTACTTTTAGAAAGATTCACTTGTACCCTTGTGAGATAAACCATAGAGGTGATCCCTCCAATCACCCTCCCTCCACCCATTCACCCCCTCCCCCCCCAACTGTTTTGTTATTATAATCTTCTCGTTTTAGAGATGAAAAGAGGCTAAAAAGGAAAATATTGTTCCTCATGGTATAATGTTAAGGGTGTGAAATCTTAAACCAGACTGACCTAGGTTTCAATTGTAGTTCAGCAACTTACTAACTAGCTGTGTAGGCAAATCATTTGTGTTCTTTGAATTTCAATCTCCTCAGATGCAAAATGAGTGAACTCTCTGCCCCCAGGAGAGTGGCGGAGGAGCAGCAGCTTTAACCATTCAATGCATTGAAGCTATTATTATCATAAATTAATATATAATAGAGGTGTTCTCAGTTCTCCTCAATTCCTTTAGTTAATTACAACCTTTTTCTATTAGTTGCTTTGTTTTTATTTATGATGAATTGAGTTGACCTTTTCCTAGCAAGTAGTAGCATACCTCATTTTTTTAAATTATTTTTTATTAAATCATAACTTTGTACATTGATGCATTTAGGGAGTTCAGGGTACTGCTTTGATATACAATGTGAAATGTTTACATTAAACTAAGTAAGACATCCATCACAATTATACTTATTTCTTAATAGTTTTGAAATGTACCATTGCATCATGCATATTAAGTGAGGTCCCCCCAAATACCTTCCCTCCTCCCATATCCCCCCTCCCCTCCACTCTCTCTCCTCTTCCCTTCTACTTTCTGGACTATAGTTATGTTTTGCCATTCATATGAATGTGTAGGTGGTTATATATTGATTTCATAGTAGTATTGAGTACATTAGATAGTTTTTTCCCATTCTTGAGATACTTTACTAAGAAGAATATGTTTCTACCACTTATAAGGGGCTTCTACATATATTTTCTCATCTGGCCCTAAAAAACAACCCCTTAAGAAAGGTAGGAAAGATATTATTGGCCCCATTTTACATACAAAGAAACTGAGGCCCAAAAAGGACATTGACATGCCTAAGGGACATGGCATTTGCTTATACTTCAGGACAGTTTCACTCTATGTATTAAATAATATGCTATGTTTCCTGGTATGTGATTCCTAAAAATAAATTGAATAGTTCAGAGAAGTAAAAGGACTTACTTAATTAAATTAAATATGATAGACAAATACTATGAATTTAGCATGCAAATATATTTGCTATCAATAACTTTCTAGAATTATTTTCATTTATTAATAGGTAAACTAGTATCAAAAACTGTCCACTTAATATACCAATACAGCATTGTTTAAAAAATAAAAATTAGAAAACACCTCCCCCTGCATTACCCTTTTTTTTTTTTCTGCACACACTAACCTTTGGACAAATGTCTTTGTTAGTTCTTCCCCTTAGACTCTACTGGAAAAGAATAGCTACACTTTCCAAGCTCAGAACTGCCTCCCTCCATAGCTGTCTCCCTTCACCCCTTCACCCCATCTGAAGCTCTACAAACAGTATAATGTGTAGCACTTAGCCTGACTCTTGCTCTTATTTCTTGATTTATTGTACAAGTTCCTGTTTGGACACGTGATACTCTCAAAGCCAAGGGAAAGTACAGAATCTGACTATTTGCTGATACCGAGGGCTCTATTCTCTCCAAAGTCTAATTTACTCTTTGGCAGAAACATAGATTCTTAGCAAGACAAATGAGCTCTTTCAAACTATTAGGAGATGATGTAGAAGGCTAAAGCTATCAAGGATCTCACCGCAACAATAGGCCACTAAATAGTCTCTAAGTGGCTTGAAAGAGCCAGTATCCCTAATTGAGAGCCCGAGGCAAAGAGAAGATAAGACACAGCAAGAAGACCCAGATTCTATAGGATAGCCGCCTGGATAACAAATATATATAGGTAGAGAATAGAGGAAAATCAGACTCACTGCCAAGCTCATTAGTGAAGGATTCCCAAACAAAACATAGGCCCAAACTATAGTTGGTAGAAAAAAAATATTAAGAGAAGTTTATATAAATGTATAATTACTTTAAATTAAATTAATTTAACTACAATAAATTACTTGTATTAACTATTAATTTCAATTAAAAAGTACATCAAGGCTGACATGCAACTTAATTCTCTTTAAGTATCTGATTTACATTAAGATGTTCTTGTCTGGCTCAGCACCTGTGGCTCAAACAGCTAAGGCACTGGCCACATACACCTGAGCTGACAGGTTCGAAAACAGCCCCGGCCTGCCAAACAACAATGATGGCTGCAACAAAAAAATAGCTGGGCATTGTGACAGGTGCCTGTAGTCCCAGCTACTTGGGAGGCTGAGACAGGAGACTCGCTTGAGCCCAGGAGTTGGAGGTTGCTGTGAGCTGTGATGTCACAGCACTCTACCCAGGGGGACAGCTTGAGGCTCTGTCTCAAAAAAACATAAAAGATGTTCTTGTCTTTCAAAAAATAGGAGCCGATTAACTGATCAGAATGATAGAAAATAAGTTTTCATGCACCATAATATATATATTTAATTTCTATATAAGCTAATTACATAACAGATCTCATAAATATTCAGTTTTCTTGGAAAACTAAATGGTAAGCCACTTATACTTCTCATGTTAAGATAAGGTTATCACCTTGCTCAAAAAAACTACATAGCAGTTAGGAAGAAAAAAAGATTGTATATATTCCTGGAATGATAATATGCAATGTTTCAATTTATGAAATGACATCCATAACCTTATACATAACCAGGCACACATAATTTTGCAATGGCTCATGGGGCCGATGGGAAAAGGGTTATGTGGTTTTTGTGTTCCTCTTAAAGATTTTAGTCACACTTTTTAATTCCAATCCTTTTTCTCCTTGAGGAAATAGGATACCACATAGTAATTTGTAATCATTTGATTCTTAAATGAGATTTGACAAGTCTTTCTTATTTATAATATGAGGTGGCAACTAAGCTAATTCCTTCACAAAGCGTAGACATGAAAAACTTTCCTTAAGAGGTAATCACAGATTTTAGATAGATTTTCTAATGCCCAGTGTCCCATAAAAAGACTTGGAGGTATTTTGTCTTTCTGGTATCATTTTCAAAGCCAGCCTTTTTTTAAATCATAATAAACAGGTGAGTCAACCCACAATGCAACCACATCAGACAAATCTATGGAGAATAGGGGAGAATAAAGGAAAAGCCTTTAAAGGAATATGTTTGATCTCAGGCTAAACTTTTTTTTAAAGCCATGATTCCATGTTTGTGTATTAGGTAAGGTCTCCTACAGTACTGCTGTGCAGAAAAACTCTATTATAACTACAGAGATAACTCAGATAGGAAGTTATTTTGACCTCATTGGGACTTTTCTATGTATATTCTATTGATGTGGCTTTGAAATTTAAAAATACAGCATTCTGAGTGTTTATTTGATCATGGGCAAATTAGTATAAGATGTCAAAAATGTCGTTTAGCCATTTCTGAGTTTTTTCAAAATTCTTACTTTGATGACACAGATAAGCATTTAATGGGATAGTAACAAATTAATTTAATAATTAGCAAAAGAAGCACTGGCCAAAGAAGGCAAACCTAGAAAGCAGTAATATATAGGTTAAATATAAACTTTCTTTTCACTCTCTTGTAGTAAGTTATGATGGTTAAGAACTGAAGGACAAAGGGATGCAATATAGTGTATCGTATGGAAGCTGTTCACTCCTCTGGGTTACCAGACTAATCTGGGTTATTTCCTTTTGTATGATAGTGAGTATTTTGTTTCTATACACGTATACAGCCTCTGACCATAGAGTAACTCACAGCAGCGCATAATCACTCTACATCATATTTTTGCAGCCACTAATTATTCAAAATCATTGTCAAAACATTGTAGCCAATGGTACTTCTCATAGGAAGTACCTAAAGAAATGGATTTAAATACCATTGATGAACACTGTCAAGTTAACAAATATCTACTAATCTCTCCCCATAGGGTCAGTCTTATAAACAGACACAAAACAGAAGAGAGAGATACATAGATAGATGATAGATAGATGATAAATAAGACAGATACATGATGTTGCTGATGATAGATAATCTGTCTTTGGGAGATTACAGTTGAATTGCATGTGTCTTAAAGGCAGGATTTCCAGGACTACACCGTGTAAGGCAGGGGGACAATCTGAGTATTACCTAAGTTTAACTTCTACCTGCTCTTCCTACAAATATTATCACACTTGTGTCCATTTGTAAATCTTTCAGGTAGCTGGACAATTTTTCTGTAGTCAGCCAAGTATAGTCATCCGTGAAGGCAGCACACGGAGCCACCTGGTGTCAGCAAAGTTCTGTAGAATCAGAATCTCAAGCCTCCTCACTTGAAAAAACACTTTTCCAAAGTGACCCCAGGTTGGCCAGTAGGTCATGACACTCTTGACTGATAGTCAATGGGAATGGGGAAGAAAGAGATCAGTGGAGTCTGCAAACACATGGGTTTTTAAAAGTTAATTTTCTAAGCCTTTAAGTGCTACCAAATGACCACCACATGCTATTTCCACATCTAGAATTACAAATGCCCCTCGAACAGAGATTTACACTTCTCCAGAGTTTTAATGAGTTCTAGGAGTCAAGGGGATGGAGACAAGATAAAGAGAGGGCCCTTCAGAGACGGGTGCTCAAAGAATTCCACGGTGCAGAGACGGGAAAGAAAAACCAACTCCCTGTTGCCTTTTCTCATTGCGGGCTGACAAGTAACTGGCATTTTACACACACACACCCCTCCAATGATGTCACAAGTTGGATCAAAATCTTTTGAGATTGCTAGCGGGTTAACTCAAACATAATGAAAACCTCAGCTGTGGGGGAAAGATCCTGGAATGTTAGAACCAGAGTGACCACTGAATTCAACCCCATCCTTGCACCGACAAGAAAATTGCGCCTCAGACGAAGAAGGACGCTTGCTAGTTGCACAGCTACTTAGGAGTAATTAACAATAGAGACCTTCCCAGCCTGGTATCTGTAGCAGGCGCAGTGGTAACAAACATTCCCTTGTTTCTGTCTCTTAACCCCTTCTCCTCCGGAGCACTGCTGGAGGTATTCTGAGACACGTCCCTCCGTGTTCCCACCCGTATCTTCTTTCGCTTTTTCATTTCCTCTTACCTAAGGTCAATACCAAGATCCTTGCTTTCCGGTTTCACAATTTCTAAAGAGGATCTTGGCTGAAGAGCTGGGAGTGCTCAGTGGCCAGGTAGCCCCCCGCCCCCATTCTTTTCTCAGTCCTGAGCCCGACGGCAGGGACGGTGCCCACGGAAAGCTCCTATTACCCCTTCAGGTGAACATTCACGGTTCCCTAAGCAGACGCTAAACGCTGCCTCTTATGCAAGAGCGACCCCCCAGCAGTAGCCACGGGTGCAAAAACCCACTGCATAAATTAAAGTTTTTAGTTTTTCGGGGCATGTTTCTAAAGTAGCATATGCTTTCTGCTATTAAATTTTGTAAAGTGAGCAGGATTGGGGAAATGTAGGAGAAAATAATATAGGAGTTTGTTTGTTTGTTTTTAATGCCTGCAGGTAAGGAACGCAAGAACTGTGATTCCCAGTCCAGCTCTCGGTGTTTCCTGGCAGCAGAAAGGGCCGGGCCAAGAGGCAACGTAGCAAAGTGGATCAGAAGCTCCCACCCTTTCTCCTCCCGTCCCCCCGCGTCTGGAGCTGCAGGCTGCAGCCACCAGCAGGCAGGAGAATTTCTCCTGGTCCCTGCGGTGGCCCGCGCCCTTCAGCCCCAGCCTGCGTATCGCGCCTGATTGGGAGGCGGGGGGCGCTGGGGAGGGTTGGAGGAGCGGAGCTGCGGGTGGGCGTGGGACTCGGTACCTACCGAAGAGGCTGTGGTCCTGCCTGGTGCCCTGCACGCTGCCGTCGGGCAGGATCTGCAGGTGGAAGCCGGTGCGGCAGTAGAGCTGGCGGCGGCGAAGAATGCCATGCAGGTGCGCCAGCTCCGCCGCCCCCGGCCCGCCGCGCGCGCCCCGCTCCGCCGCGCCCCTGCGCTCGCCCAGCAGCGGCGGCCGCTCCCCGGCGGGGGGCAGGAGGAAGTGGGAGCCCACCTGCTGGCCCAGGCCCTCCAGGCCACCCAGGAAGCCCCCGACTTCGGCTAAGGGAGCCATGGAGGGTCCCGGGGGAGGGGGAGAGGCAGAGGATTCGGAAAACAAAAGACCCCCTTCCCCAGTAAAAGTGTGCCGGGAGTAAGGGGGGACAGAGAAAAATTATAGCAAAACAAACGCAAAAAGTTAAGGCCTGGTTACTCCTGTGAGGTCGCAGAAGGGACTTGGCATTGAAATGGCAGGAAAGCTGTCAATGTCTCGGCGCGATCTTCTCTCCTTGGGTAGGTGGGAGCCGGCGGCTGGCTTTGCAAAAACATCTGTAGCTGCTGCTGCAAATACTGGGCCTGGGGTTGGGGGCTGGGGCTCCAACTCCGCAAACTGATCGGATCTGAGTCCTGTGTACATACACACCCAGTATATATGCGGGTCCTCTTGACATATGCTAATCAAGCCCTTTCATGCGCGCTGGGGAGGTTCTGTTTGAAATCTTAAACCGACCTCCTCTCAACACGTTTTTGCTCTTCGGAAGTGACCATAAGGGGCCCTTGATTGTTCTCTATCCCTGCCCTAGCAAAAATCTTTCCAGCACCGGGCCAAACCTAGCCGGCGACTTCGGGGAGACGCAGCCGAGACCCCTCTTTGGGGTTCTCTTTGGGACAGCGGCGATGATGTAGTGTAGCCTTTGATGTCGGCTACACTGCAGCGATAGAGCGGGGCCAGGTATATGGAAGAGGAAGGGAGGAGGATGGGAAGGAGGAGTGGGGAGAGAGAGAGAGAAGGACGGGATGGGCAGGAGGAGGAAGAGGAGAGAAAAGGAGGAGAACTGGACTCCTTGGGAGCTGCTGGACAGGTGCAGAGAAAGGTAAATGAGGGGGGAAGGAAAAAGGGCGTTACCTGAGGCTTAGACCTGCCCAGACACACATGAAAGGGAAATCAAAGCTTTGGCAGTTTAACTCACTAATTTCAAAACACTAATAAAATGTACAAGCATTACTCTTTTCTTTTATCATTTAGATGGGGGATTTTCTTTACATAATCACAGTTAGGTTAGGAACACCCTCCCCCCCTTCCTAAGTTCTCTTTAATGTTTATTTTTACTCAGCACATGATATAACCAAGATTATTACCACAAATATACATACACGTGTGTCTATATGAAAGTTTTAAATTGTGTGCTAAGGTCATGAACTTTTAATTAGCATAATAGGATGATGGAATCAAGAGATTTAGAGGAAAGCCAAATAAACTGAAAAGAAATGGTTTACATTCTTATATTTTGCCATGAATAGAAAATGAATCTCTGGAATAGGGGCACAAAAGATGAGCCACCTCTGAGTCCCTGACACAGTCTAAGAGCAGGTTCCTGTACTTCTTAGTTGCATTTTCTTAAATTCTAGATTTTTTTTTTGTTCACATTTTAATTATAAACTTTAAAAGCAACTAAGTGGAAATAGCACGGCTTTGAGACTTCAAAAGTTACTGGTGAAATTTAAGAGTGCATATTTGACATTTTGGTGGTGTACCACGAGTTACCTTCAAGATTTTCCCATTAAAATTTTTCAGTGGCAGAAGAGTTGAGAATCAGTTGGCAAATTTATGCTTCCCCTGAGCAAAAAGTTTTAGGCAATCACTGGAGATTACTTTCTCCGTCCTGTTGCCTGGTCTGTTCAGCAAAAGCCTAAACCTGGGAGCTCAGTTGGATTTGGCTGGTTTATTTCACTTGCTCTGAAGGTTTCTCTTCTAATTAATTGGCAGGTGCTTTAAAGTCGGTATAGTTACACCTTTTTATCACTAGGGGCCTAAGTAATCACCCTTGTGCAACCAAGTTATAAAAGAGTCCTTAAAGCAAGTGATTTACTGTTGATAGATATGAAATAAAGCAAAAACACTGGCTAAAAACAATAAACAGATCAATCACCTCAGAAATGTATATTGCTAAGTCTGTTTAAAAGGTTGCGCTAGGTAAATGTTACATTATTTCACCTTTCAAATAACAGCAGTCTGTCTTGTGGTAGGACCCCCAAATCCACCATCATCAAGATTTCAAAGCACATCTGTGTAAACATTATCACATCAGTGTATAACATCAACCAATGAGCTTTTACTTTGAACCAAATCTTCTTAATTGCAGTGTTAAATCAAAGAAAGTTAGATCAAAGTTGTGTGGATCTCATAGCAGGATAACTAGCCAGTACATACATTGATCACTTGTGAAGAGGTGATGCTTAAAGGTTTTAAACTTAGATCGCTGCCTTTTTAATGAGGTTGGTTTTAAGGTCTAATTTCTGTGCAACATATAATGCTGTTGATTATTCAACAATGGGTATATATCATTGTCACCTGCTCCTAGAAGTACTAGTTCAGTCTATAAAATATTTTTCCACATAAACATCTTGTGTGATCTATAGCTCGTAGACTGTTTAAGTCTCTTGTATTCTGTAGCACACACACACACACACACACACTCTCTAAAATACAGGACATTTTTCACCCATAGTCACCAAAGCCCAAATAATTTAATAATAGAACTACCTTCTCTTTCAATACCTAAGCATGTTCATGTGCATTACCTTTATTTAATCCCCACAATAACCCTATGAGACAGGTACACCCTGCTTTGCAGAGGAAAAAAAAAAAAAAAGAAATTGTCCTAGATTCTAGTGCAGGATTTAGTCCAGAGTCCAACATCCCAGGGAAATGTTCTTACACTCTATTCATGTCTCTGCTTCTTCTTTTTCAAAATGACAACAATGTAACTCCTGCTTCCTTCACTATGTCTAGGATTGCTATGAGACTTAACTGTGAAAATGTATAGAAAGTGGTTGTAACACTATAAAGTTTTTATGCATAGAGCATGCTAGGCAATTTCACTGGTGAAAATTTGTGCTCTATAGCTTAGCAAATATAATTGGTTTGAAATACAAAAAAAAATCTTTTTCCCCCCAAACCAAACCTTTAATGTGCACGTTTTGAATGGTGCTTAATGCCATTTTATAAAGGACCAGAATAGCAACAAAAAGATAAGGATTTCTTTTGTTTGCACTAGTCATGTGACAGGAAAAGATAACACTAAAGATTTTTTTTTTTGCACATACTGTGATGATATCATGGGAAGTTAAATAATTTTGAAGAGTGTTTTACAAGAGTGCATTATTCAACTTTTAAGTATACACTGCAATCTAATCAACGTTGCCTATGCTTCCTAGAGACCACACTTGCCCTGCTGTTATACAAATAGGTGGTACAACCTCTACTTCCACAAAATGTAGTTACAGTTTCCTGACAATATAGTCCCCCTATAGCTTTTTAGTCAGCCTATTGTCATGAATCTCTGTTTTTCCATGTAAGAAAGGAATTAATACCTTTTGATGCTGCCTCTATGTGCATTTAACTTGAGAAAAAGAAACAGAGCTGATTTATTTATTTTTTTGAGACAGAGCCTCAAGCTGTCACCCTGGGTAGAGTGCCATGGCATCACAGCTCACAGCAACCTCCAACTTCTAGGCTCAAGCAATTCTCCTGCTTCCACCTCCCAAGTAGCTGGGACTACAGGTGCCCACCACAAGTTGGCCTGGCTATTTTTTGGTTGCAGCCGTCACTGTTATTTGATGGGCCCAGGCTGGATAAGAACCTGCCAGTTCAGGTGTATGTGGCTGGTGCCTTAGCTGCTTGAGCCATAGGCCTCAAGCCAACACAGTTTATTTAAAAGTCATGACTTAGGGCCACACTTGTGGCTCAAAGGAATAGGGCACCGGCCCCGGCCAAAAGCTGCAAAAAAAATAAAAATAAAAAAGTCATGACTTACAATAAAATGAAAATACATCAGCACAACATCATTCATTATTTATAATTACAAAATGTTGGTGATGACATAAATTTCTATACATAGAAAAGTGAATAAATTAGGGTATATTCACACAATGGAGCATTAGATGGCTGGAAAAAAAGAGTAAGAAAGAGCTCTATAAACTAAAATGGAGTATTTCTGGGATATACTGTTAATTAAAAATACAAAAGTACAAAAGAGTATATATGGTGTGTTACCTTTTTTCTCTATAAAAGAAGGAAAATGGTAGACTCGTAGTTGTATATGCTTATTTTCCAATAATAAACACAAGACTTATGAACCAAAAACTATAAAGATCTTGGTGAAGTTGTTTACCAAGGGATAGATGTGAATGGAGTGGAAGGCATGGCGAGGTGACACTTCTCTGAAAACTTTTTACGGAGAAAAATCAATGTTTTACATTGTTTAAAAAGTAAAATAAACGAAGATTGGGGGAAATACAATAAATGAAGGAACAAATGAACTTAACTATATTCAAGTGAATAATGTAACCATACATTAGGTAAGTATGATAATAGGATGTTTTAATGTTTTATTTTTTTATTAATTATTTTTTATTAAATCATAACTTTGTACATTGATGCATTTATGGGGTTCAGGGTACTGCTTCAATATACAATGTCAAATGTTTACCTTGAACCAAGTAACACATCCATCACAATTATACTCATTTCTTAATAGTTTTGAAATGTACCATTGCATCATGCACATTAGGTGAGGTCCCCCCCGAATGTTCTCCCTTCTCCCAGATTCCCTCTCCCCCCCCTCCTTTTCCCTTCTACTTTATGGACTATAGTTATGTTTTGCCACTCGTATGATTGTGTAAGTGGTTATATATTGATTTAATAGGATGTTTTTAAAAGAAAGCCAAGTAACTCTCAGATTCAGCTCTTTGATGAGATAATGTAAGTCTAACAACCAAACATAACCAAATATCCAACTCCACTGAGAGGTTGCTTTCCTTGGTGGTAGGGTGAAGAGTAGTGTGATGCAGGACTGAGCAAATGTGTAACTACATTGAGGATAATGACAAGCATTTTATTATTAAAGAATAGAGTTCAAATATGGGTAGAATGAACGCTGTAGTGTGGACTTGAAATTGCATTTATCAGTGTTAACACAGCATACCTGTGTGTGTGCCTGTGTGTGTATATCTTAGCTCTGTCCATAAAAGGGCTAGAAGCAAACATGCCCTAGGGCAATGACTACACCTAAAGCCTACAGGTTGGTTTCTCAATCCAATCTACCACTACAAGGACCCAGGGAACTTTGGGGAAATGATTTATTCTA